TTCTGTTTTGTTGTTGGTTTTTTCTTCAAAAAATAATGTTGCTCAGTTTAAATTTGATTTTTGACATGCAAAGGACTTCTGTCTATCTCTATTGGATCACTCAATCTAATCAAATTAGTGATATATTAGATCATCTAACACTATTAAAAGAGCTTGATAAAGCCTTGTGAGGCTATCCACGTAGGATTATTTAATTCACCAATGGGATTGCATTATTTCTTCCACGTAAGCATAATGTTTTGTGCTATTGAACTCTCAATACTCTGAACATTGGCCCAACTTAACCCAAGATATTGAAACCGTAGACTAATTGACGACTACAGTTTTCTGTCATCTTCTCCGTTTCATTTCTTTTCATCTAACTCTCTGTAAATCAATCGCCACATCTCCCCATCTCTGAAGCAATCAGTTTCGTTTTCTTTCTCGAAGCATGATTCCGATCCAAATCAGAAAAACTCTTTCAAATACGTTTCGCGATTAGCAAATCCACCGGCTCTACCGACTCGATTTCGAAGAAACCAAACAGCAAGGACATTGTCTCTTCCTCCGTTCCGATGAAGCCTTGCACTAAAACCGCAGTCTCCTCTGACAAAGGTGAAGAAGTAAAAACCGGTGTCTCCACCGTCTCCAGGGATTCGATTCCGAGAAGGTGAGAGTATTTTATAGTAATAATGATAATCATTTTACTTATACTGTATATAGTTATGATGAAAATTTCTATAAGTAGTTATTTTGAACAGACTTCCTCGGAAATTTCCGAGGGATACAGATCCTCGGAAATTTCCGACAGAACAGGTCCTCGGAATATTTCGAGGGATACACTTCCTCGGAAATTTCCGACGAAACCCTTCGTCGGAATATTTCGATCATTCTGAGACCCTTCCATCGGTAAAATCCAAGGCATTTCCGACAATCTTGTCCTACGATATTGTTTCTCGGAATGGCCTCGGAAATTGTTGTCCTCGGGAGTTCCTCGGAATTTACCGAGAAAATTCCGAGGAAACTTGAAATTCTGACGAGAAATTTCCGACGACCGTAGTCGTCAGTATGTCCTCGGAATTCCCTTATTCCGACGACATTCCGACGATTATTTCCGTCAGAATCACGGTGTTTTCTTGTAGTGAGTATTGATCAAATTTTTTCTTAATATTGGAGGTGATGGAAAAGAAGAACAGTGAATATTTAAACAAGCGCCAGATTTATTTCGCTTTTGCTAAGGACGCTCCTAAGCGTTCACAAGCCAAGTAAATTGTTTTAAAGATATGTTTATGTAATCTATTGCTAGAGTTTTGGTGCCATTACAGAAACTAATGCTATTATTTTTGTTAATTAGGTATTGCATAGACCACAAGGCTTGGTAAGTTATTTAACTATTTACATTTTGAGTTGAGTTTTTTTGGTATATTTGGAGAGATCACAGGTTTTTTTTATATTCCAGGTACGAAGACTATACTCAGCGAAAAGATGCAGCAGTGGAAGGACTAGATGAAACTCCAGATTTTGTTGAGGTATTGTTTTTTATTATAAAATTGAATTTCTTTTGTTTTTAAGAGACATACTATTAACACACTTGGCTGTTAAAATTCAGGAAGTTTCCTCGAGGAGGAAAACTGTCTTCACCGATTTATCCAAGAAAAAAAAACTGATTGTTAACATACCAAATATGTAAATAGTACCTTTGAATACCTCTTTTGTTATTTGGAGCAAGTTTTACCATTGTATCTTCTATAATTTACACCATCAGCTTCTTTGAAG